GTTTGTTATCCCCTCTTCTTCCCTTCCCCCCTCCTCCCCCTCTCCCATGTCCCCCCGGAACTGTCAGTCCCGTTGTTTTCTCCTCCAAAGTTTTTCTTAAAAGAAGATGGAATTTCTCAAATTGAATAGTACTCAGGTACTGTTCTAACAGCTCTAAGGTCTTTCACAGGACAGCTCAGAAACAATAAATATTACTAATTTCTGGTCTTAGTAAGACCCTACATATAAACCAATTCAGACATTAGGCATGACTCAAAATTATATGTTTATATGTATCCTGTCTGTTGAGAAATTTACTGTATAGTATGTTATGTGCTATGGAAAACAGATTGTAGAAAAATATTACATATGAAAAAATACCTCAAAAGATTGAAAACTCACCTTTTGAAAGCAGTTTTCTGAATTTCTGTGTACCTGAAAGCTGCTGCTCTGGACTATTGGAAAATATCATTTCAATCATATCAGAAGTAATGACATCACCCTGGGATCACAAACAAAAAGCAAAATTAGTAAAATGTAGTTATACCGGTAATTCAAAAGAAAACTATATATAAACTATACTCAGAAGACTATAAACTATGGCCAAGTTATTAAGCTAAGTATGTTTCTCTTAAAGAGTTACACAGTGTGTGAAATGATAAGTGAGCATATATTACACGTGCTACCATGATACCTGGTTGTCAGAAGGAACAGCTCCAAGTTCAAATTTTCTACCACTGGAACAGCAACAAAATTTGAGAAAAATCTGCTCAGTGTGCTTAACTTTACTTGATAAAACTGAATATCCAACTGGAAAAACCTGTACAGGACAAGAGTGAATCTCACATCTTGCCACAGACACAAAGGGGGTGACACTTCAGTCTTAAGAACTGCTCTCACTCAGACAATATATAATGTTTTTGATAGTGGGACAAGAAGAAAGTAAAAGGAAATAGAGTAAAGAATTAGGAGGCAAAGGGCACTTATAGAGGCCTAAATACAGGCATGCACATATGTATATTTATATATGATGATGGGGAAATAGATCTATGTGCATATATTTATAAGTGTAGTATTAAGGTAGCCGATGGACATTGGGCCTCCACTTATGTACCCCCTCAATGCAAGAACACTTTGTTCTATTAACCTGGCATTCCATGATGCTCACCTTCCCAACACGATCACTGAAGACAAAGCAGGTGCATAGGCAAATGTGGTGAAGAAAGCAGATGGTGCCCAGCTATCAAAAGATAAAATGTCTAGGGTCTTAAAGGCTTGAAGATAAACAAGCGGCCATCTAGCTGAGAAGTAACAAAGTCCACATGGAAGAAGCACACCAGCCTGTGAGATCACGAGGTGTTGATGGGATCAGGTATCAAGCCTCAAAGAACAAAAAATCGTATCGTTGTGAATGAGGAGGAGTGTGGAGTGGGGAACCAAAGCCCATCTTTAGGCATCTGGACATCCCTTAGAGAAAGGTTGCGGGGAGGAGACTAGCCAGTCAGGGTGCAGTGTAGCAACAATGAAACATACAACGTTCCTTTAGTTCTTAAATGCTTCCTTCCCCCACTATCATGATCCCAATTCTAACCTTACAAATCTGGCTAGACCAGAGGATGTACATTGGTACAGATAGGAACTGGAAATACATGGAATCCAGTACAGATGAACCACTCAGGACCAGTGCTGAGAGTAGTGATACCGGGAGGGTAGAGGGAAGGTGGAGTAGAAAGGGGGAACCGATTAAAAGGATCTACAAATAACCTCCTCCCTGGGGGACGGACAACAGAAAAGTGGGTGAAGGGAGACGTCGGACAGTGCAAAATATGACAAAATAATAATTTATAAATTATCAAGGGTTCCTGAGGGAGTGGGGAGGAGAGGGAGGGAAAAATGAGGAGCTGATACCAAGGGCTCAAGTAGAAAGCAAATGTTTTGAGAATGATGATGGCTACAAATGTACAAATGTGCTTCACACGATGGATGTATGGATTGTGATAAGAGTTGTACGAGTCCCCAATAAAATTATCATATATACATAATGCTTTTGTTACTGCGTTAAAACACTCCTCATTGTGGGTTTTTTGTTTGTTTTGGTTCTACACCCTATTTTTATAAACTATCTTAACTATGGGCTCCAAAGAAAGTTAGTGAAACCAGCAGTAGAGCTAGGAGGAAAACTGTGAGAACCACAATAGCGTAATCACTGTGAAATTTCAGTCAGATTGCCACATGTCTGATTTGGTGGCTACATACAGCATGACTACGTCAACATTATCATGGGGGGGGGGGTGCAGGCGGTGTGATTAAAGCAGCTAATGTAGCACAAGGTGTGATTTCTTTAACCACTTAACAAAGAATCCAAACTATCAAAGAAATTGAAAAAAAAAATTTTTTTTAAGAAATTGAAACATACAGTCAATTTGGATAAATTAGAAACAACTCTATGGTGAGAGCACACCTGCGAGCAGGTTAACAGCTTCTATAGTGAGATAAAGTCCTGTAAAAATGAATTTATCAGCGTCACTTTGGAGCTTCAGAACCAATTATTTGGTTCACCATAAACTTTTAAAAATCATTTTATTGGGCGGCTCATACAATTCTTATCACAATCCATACATCCATTGTGTGAAGCACATTTGTACATTTGTTGCCATCATCATTCTCAAAACATTTCCTTTCTACTTGAGCCCTTGGTATCAGCTCCTCGTGTTTTCCCTTCCCTCCCCCCCAGCTCCCCACTCCCTCATGAACCCTTAATAATTTATACATTATTATTTTGTCACGTCTCTCCATAATTTCTTATGGGAAAAATAGGCTCAGTTCTTGAACTTTTCGGTGTTTGAACATAAATTTGGAACAGAATGAGTTTGACAACCAAGGTTATCACTGTAGATTCTTAGTCTATCATTAAAATGCTGACAACAGTAATAAAACAATCTTAGTAATAAATACTAAGAAAGGGGCTTATAGTCTTTTGGGAAGCTAAAGGTCTAAAAGAAGTAACCAAGAGGACCAGCAAAAGTGAATATAAGCAACAAAAAAAATGACCAAAAGTAAAAAAGGCATATGCAAAAACAAAGATCAAATATTCCCCACGTCCTGGAACATAGTGTAATCACAGTAAAAGCAAATCATGTTTCCTTTGCTTTCTTATTGACGTAGAAGGGTTTTCTCTGGAGAATAATTTATCTCCTTAATTCCTCTTAAAAGTAAACAAAGACCTCCAATGTGAAAAATGTAATGCCAGAATTTCAGCAATTATATCTCAACCAAATTTATATTAATAATTTAATATTTAAAATAATACAAAAATCAGTTCTAGTCCACCTTTGACAGTCATGAGAAATACCTTTCAAAATCAGTCAAAGCCCAGGTTTACAGATGTTAACTGATCTGAAGTCCTATCCATTGCCTCACATCAGAGACTTAAATTTGAAGACATTCCTTATTCAAAACCCACCCTTATAAAAATATGCAGCCTTTTCCATGGATCTACAGGAGATGGGCCCTTTTTTATCTTTAGCACACTACACTTTAAGCGCCTGTGGCGACTATTCTGTTCTTCGTAAAACAGCATGTTCTTCCTCGCCTTTAAATCTTCCTTTAAATTATCAGGTTTCCCTTGCTCGTCACATGGCTGGCTGTTCTCCTTTCAGTTAGCTCTCAGGTACAATGCCAAACTGTAAAACAGCCTTTCACACCCTTTACATATCTAAAACAGCCACTCAATCTCTATCTGAATACCCATTTGAGTCGGAACAGACCTGATGGCAATGAGCGCCGAGGATCTAGCTCTCGGCACTATCAGATATTATTCTTAATTTATTTGTTTATTGTCTGGATCCCAGGAGTAGATAATACGTTTCTTGAAAGCTAAAGATATTATCTGTTTTACCATTCTGTCACTAATGGCTAGCATACCATAGATGTCCAACAAATACTTTTTGAATGAGCATAAGGTTGTCCTATATATTGAAAAAAAAAAAGCACAGAGTCCCGCTACTGCCAAATTCAATACTTGATTTTTAAAATTTATTTAAAGTCCCTATTTTGGGTTTATTAAAATTCCCCCCCCCCACACTATTTTCTTGCTATATTTGAATCTTTCTGGTTTCCCACTACACTTCATCCCCGTTATTAACAGTTAACATTCTTCCCATGGCTACTTGTCACAGTAAGTTCTTATCATTTCGTAAAGGGTAAAGTCAGCAAGATCAAATTGTGAAGAAAGCTGCATAAAGTTTTAAGTGCCGAACTTGGGTCACCAATCCCTGTTGCTGCTGTATAAACCTATAACTACCTCGTGGGGCATCTCAGACTGCAATCTTTACTGCAGCCGATTGCCAGGCCTTTTCCTCTCTCTGGTAGCTATGCATTGGCTGCTAACCACAAGGTCAAGAGTTCAAAACCACTAGGCACTCCTCAGGAGAAAGATGAAGGTATATTAAACTGACAGTTACCTCTAGGAAAGGATATGCATGAGAGGGAGAGGTATTTTTCCCTCCACCCTTCCTGTTTTATTTACACAAGGAGTCTATGTTCTCTTAATTATAAATTTTTTATAAATAAGGGATTGCTTACCAAACTGAAGAAAAAAAGAGATACTAATTAACCTTCACCAATATAACCAAAAAAATATATAATAACTTGATATTTAGATGGAGGAGGCACCTGGACATTACATACGTTTTCCAACTATAGATTCACAGTTTGCTAGCTGAAATTCTGGGAGCCAACTGAGGAAGTGTAGAATTCAGGGTTACTAATTTTCCAAACATACAGTGCATGTACATGAGAATTCCAGGAGTGTATGGGCAGCATTTCATAAATAACATTTCATCAACAAAAATATGAATGATACTTAATGTGATGAAGACTATACACCATCTCACGTGAGCTTTACTATCCGGTTAATTTGCCATAAACTTAGAAGAAACTATTGGTTCATAAAACTTTCTGGATTTAAGAACTAAGGGAAAAGTACCGCTGACCTTAGTCAAATAGGGTTCTCATTATTAACACTCATGACAATACTTAAGCCAGGCACTAACAACTGAGATGGTATGTAAATACTGTTAAATGCTGTCTAATTAAGGAAAACAAACCCAATCCATATCGCATGAAAGGAATTGAGAGTAAGGGAAAAAAGAGAGTAAGAGCCCTCCCATTCTATTTTCTACCTACTTCTCTATTCTCAAGAGTCAATCACTACTCTTATTCTGATAGTTACCTTCATACTTCAAGCATACTACTACATTTCTTAATAACTTTAAATATTCAGCTATCAAGCGTAGTATTTTAGAGGACTACCTAATATCATCAATTCACCAGAAACCCTGGTGGCACTATGGGTTAGATGTTGGGCTGCTAACTACAAGGTCAGTAGTTCAAACCCAACAGTCATTCTCTGGAAGAAAGATGAGGCTGTATGCTCTCATAAAAAGTTAAAGTCTGAATCAGCACTATTGTGGTAGATATATAATGTCAATTTGAGGATTA